TGTTCTCCAATATAGACCCTATACCTTGGGTACATGATATCTTCTCACTAAAAGCACCCGTAAAAGTTGCCACGATCAAATCAAACTCAAGTATTTTGGGTTCCACACCCAATCACACTACTACTCTAGGAGACACAAAAGAATATATAGGTCTTACAATTCCATTAATGTTAGTCACATTTCTTACAAACACCCTTAGCATCCATTTTTGCAACTATCTCTTGTTTGTACAAAATACCAAGCAAATTAACTAACCTCAATGACTATACAAATCATTCTGTATCCCTCAAACTAAAATCGCTTAAAACTTACACAACTATTCAGATTCAACCTAATCCCTGGTAATTCATAAACCTATGCTTTGATACCACTTTTGTCACACCCCCACCTCGAATCACATAGGGTAAGCAGCGGACTGGCCACCAAGTCCTTAACCAACCATCCCTGTACATAATTAATGCAAAATATAGCGGAAGACAAATAATAAAGTGATCATTTTCACCGACCTAATGAATACTAGAGAAATAAACTAACATCACCGACATTGTTACTAAACTCATGTAAAACAATAATTAATTCATAAGGTTCACTACTCTAAACAAAAACACTATTGTTCTCAAAACAATCGAATACTTGTCTCAAAACTATAAAAAAAAAATATTTATTCTTGAATACCTACAATAAAATAAATCTTTAATTCTTCTAATCCCTTGTCTATCCGAGGACTTACTCCTCCTTCTAATCCTCACCTGAAAAATGTTAAATATTTGGGTGAGCATAAAGGCCCGTGAGTAGCAATCACCTCTAATGAGGTTTGAAAATAAATCACACATTTCATATACACAAAAATAAACTTTGTTATATACATAAATATAATAAATTGTACCACAATCTCTTTCACATAACCATATAAACAAAATGATCTCATGATCATAATAACTTTATCAAAAAAAAGACATTTATAGCTCAAAACACTCACACACATATTCAGTCTCAAATACACTTGTCAAATCATGTTTGTTACCACTAGCCTGGTAACTGACCCCATCTCTTCTCATCAGTAGCCTGATGATTGACCCCGTCTTTTGTTATCACTAGCCTGATAACTGGTCCCTATGTGCACATCCCTATACCAACCACGCCGGTATACAAGCTCGTTACCATTTAGACCTGATAACCCAGTCCCCTTCTCATAAAACAATGATTTCAACACACACACTAAAACTACTATTTTAATCCCATCGCACACAAAATTTCTCTTTCATCACCAAAACTATTTAAGCAATAATATAAAATCATCTCATAAGTTTTGCAAATTCACATGTGTAACAATTCACAATTGAAAAAATATTTAATTGCAACCCCAAACATCAACATATATCATATATATAAAAAATTCACACACACGCACCCATAAGTTTAATATAGAAAATCCTCTCAATAGAAATAATAAACTATTCACCTTGATTTCCAAAATATAATTCAAAGCACTCTTTTTTGACCTTAATGCAATCACCACCTAATCCAAAATAACATATTACAATCAATCCATTTTTCCTTACTTCGTCATTTCGCGATTCTATATTTAATTTTTATACTTCCTATTCATTAATATATCCTCAATATATATTTTACATATAAATATCCTTTCTAATATGAGGTAACAGTGTATGGAAGTATTTTGGACTGTTTGGAAAAAGTTTCTAAAGTTCTGGGGTTAAATCATAATTTTTAAAATTTTTGGGTTTAAAGTGTAATTTCCTTAAAAAAACGAATTTTCTGTTTTCAGGCCTGCCATAAATTTTTCAGAATTCTGTTCTTGCAACTTACCAAGTAAAAGGGTACAAAAAATAAAGTTTAGAAGAATAAAGGGGTCAAAATAAAACTCCTTGAAACTAAAGGGGAGCTTTCTGTATTTTTTTGAGATTTGGTCTTCTTCTGCCCGCGGCTGAACCTGAACCAGTATACTTCGTTTCCCTTTTTTTTTTTTTTTTTCTTTTCTTCCCAACGCATTGATTGAACTCAATCAATTCCAAACAACTATAAACTTAAAGATCAACCTTATAACTTCAATAATCAATAAGGTACCATGAGACCTATATATATATATACACCAACATTATAAACCCTACACCCATTAATTGAATAAGAATAAAAAACTCATAAAAAAAAATCATTAATCTATACCTTGGATGGATTCTAGTCCCTTTCTTTCTTTTTCCTCTCTTTCTCTCTCACTCTCTCTCTCTCTTTATATATATATATATATATATGTGTGTGTGTGTGTGTGTGTGTGTGTGTGTATATATAGATATATAACCCTGGCTGCCTTTCTTTCTTCCTCCTTATTTTTTTTTCTCTTGTCCTATTTTGACTGCCTACATATATACATATAGAAAATAAAAGAAACCCTAAAGAAACCTTACAAGTTCTCAAATTCATTAAATACATTAACATCCCTTTCAAAAAAAATATTGCAAATTACCTTAAAAACTAATATTATATATATTTTAAATTTGGGATATTACAATAATGAAATTCAAAAAATAAATTAAAATTTAAGTTAGTAACACAACAAAATCACTAATTTAAAAACTCCAAATAAGAACTCTAAACGAACTTTGATATAGATATGATGTCGAATTTCAATTGCACAATTCTCAAGAAGTGAGTCATTAGTTTATCCTATAAAATTTTATCTAAGTTCATACTAGCAAAATTGCTAAAAATAAAAATAAAAATTGTAAAAACTAATAAAGTTATGCCCCACACGGTAAGATGATCATAGGAGTTAGTAAAGACATGTCCCACATGGTTCAGTACTATAAACTTTAACTAAAAGAGTTTATAATAGGGTAGTGGGGCACCATGTTCCCCACAATGGTTCAACGAAGAATCATCAAGCCATTTATTTAATGTCTAAGTGGGACAGGATACACTGACAAAGGAAAAAGGTTGGAGGTTTCAAATCCTTTTATCATATAGGAAGAGCAACCTCTCCAAGCAATGAATGGGGGATTGGATAGCAATCACTATCTTTTACTCACAACCCATGGACTATGAACAAGTCTTTTATATCTTAATTTAAGACAAAGGCGACGCATTGGCTCGATTTAAAGGAATTTAGACTGCAATGTGAGACTTTTAACCTTCGAGTCAACAAAGAAAAATTTCAAAAGCATTCGGTGGCCAAAGATAGTTTCCCTCGTCAATAAAAATGCTTTTAGTTGTGCTTGCAACATATATTCCATTATTATAACCAAAATTGATTACACTCGTGAAATATATATTTGACTTTTATCTAAACAATATATTTTTATGTCAAAGTTCCAAGTTCGAGTCTCGTATTCGAATCATCTCCGAGATGGTATCGTGAAAATTATTTGATACACATTGGACCAAAGGGGTGTTAAAATATTCAAGAAAACTAATTAGGTGTTTTAAGAGACTCAAATACTTGGACAAAAATAAAAACTTCTAAGACCAATTTTGTGTAAAATAATTCAACCCTTATACTCAAAGAAGTATTCTCATGAATGTGTTTCATGGGTTTCTAGAAACACTATTTTGCCTTTTGTATCAAAAAAATAAAATAAAATAAAAACAAAAGCAAAAGCAAAAAACGAAAGATGGTTATTAATTCAACATGATGTCGCGTGTGACAAAAGCTAAATCCAGTCAATAAAAGGACTAAGAACAGAGGACAGAATTGTGATTGCATACCAAGAACTTGGTCTCCAAGGAATGCATTGTGATTGGCTACAAATCACTAGCCTCTACTTATTGTCATTCCACGACAAATGAAAAAGACCAAGACTTCAAGAATTAGGAATGATGGGACCCACTTGGAGGACTAAATTTCAAGTTTTGTTACCACATGAAAACAATGTTTGGTATCAATGTCCCTGTTCTAAAGTTTTTTTTTCAATCGTGCTACGATAAATCTACCTAACTATTTGGATTCAAACTATTTTTGATCAAAATTTTATATTTTTTTATTAAAAAATCTTCATCCAAACCTGTCTCTACTAAATTAAGATAGTCTCAACTCAACTCGGCTCAATTTGAATAACTTACCGTAAACAAATAATTGTAAAAATTTTCAAACTACTTTCACTCAAACGATGGACATTCAAATTTTGAACTTCTAGAATTCAATTTTATAAATTTTATTATGTAGATTTTGAAATTTCTTTTGTTTGGAAATTGGAATATTTTAAAGTTAATTTCTAATTTTTTTTGATAATATATTAAACTTTATTTTAGCTCGAATCGTCACAAAACATGAACATAAACTCGACAATTGAAACGTCTCAAACTAGAACTTGTCATTCACAATCCCATTGAATTTGAAGTTACTCAAGGTTGAAAACTTCAATCCACCCAACACCCCCCTTACAGGAAAGAGGGATAGGATCTACTCAGTGCATAAGAGCAGAAATTCATTTCTTTCAACTAGTAAGGACTACAAAATATCTTGTTCCCAGTCCCACCAAAGAAACCTTTCTTCTAATAAGACTCGAACTCGTAATCTCTTAATAAAATTCAGAAGTTTGGAGCTAACTTGCTGTGAGACGAGTTAAGATCAGGTAATTGAATACCATAAGTTATTCATTTCTCGTGAATACCCTAATCCCCAACGTAGATAAACTACCTTTAACCCGGACACCCTTGAGTTGAATCAAAAAAAATAAAAAATAAAAAGTGACCTGAGGAATAGGAAAAGAACCAAAAAGCTGTCATACAATACCCATAATCAATGCACAGAAGGCCCAGTGAAAATTTTCTTAATACCTGGTTTGGACTGTTCACAGCACAAAATAAACTAGATCTCATATATACAGTGCAATTTTTCCACCATCACAAATATATACAGATGACACATCTCAAGTAATGGAATATGAAATCAAATAATAACCCACATGCAGTGCAAATTTTCTACCATCTTAAATGTATGCATGCACACTTTACCTTTCAATCCAACACTCTGGTGGAAATCATTCATTCTTGATTGACTTTTGAATGGCACAGTATTGTAGCAGGATACATCATGGTGCTACAATTTTGTAATGAGTTGCATTCAGGAAACATAATAGCCCTAAACTATTAAAAATTATATTTGCTGCTTAATTTACTAAATTCTTGATCTAAAGTGTAATAAACAAATGGACATTTTCACATGAATAAGCTCCAATAACTACACAATAATGTCGGCAAGATGCCTTCATGACTGACCCTGTTTCAAATTGTTGGGACATGAGAGTCAGAGACACAGCTTATTACCTGATGACCAGAAAACTATTACGGTAGAAGCATTCTGATTTTAATTCTCAGAATCAGAGGTACTGAGAGATTACAAGTTTTTCAACTCCATCCCTTATCTGAGTGATGCAAGCACTGATGGACTTTGGGTGAAGTAAAATAAATATGAGGACTTCAAGTAGAATCGCTTCAGAACAACATTTAGTAATGTGAATATTGACATCCTCCATGGAAGTGAAGAGACTTCCACCCAACACCCAATGCAAGCCTGTTACAAGGAAACCTAAAATAAAAAAATACGCCAAGAAGAGCAATATGCAAATCTATACACAAAGATACGAGAATTTCTTATTCAACGTAAATATTATTGAAGGTACACTTTCTATGGCATAAACTGGCCAGAACCCCTAAAATTTTATCAACATGTGCTTCTGTTACTGAGGGAAATTTCATTGCAAGTGAAAAAATTTCTTATTTATTCACACAAGAAATAAAAAAAAATGATAGAAAATCCCAAAAAACTATATTGAATTGAATTTTTTTAACCTTATAAAACAAAGGAACTTCTAAGGTCTGTTCAAAATATAAGCTCAAATGAATCAACCAATCATAATCATAAAATTAGTAAATATATGGTCAGGTTAATGACACATTTGTAATTTGGTACAAGCTCGCTAAGAAAAACCACACAACATCCATGCACACTCATGTAAATAGGCACACAAGTACAATCCATTTGATTGGGAGGCAGATCTCAGTTAGGTTCGTGTGTTAAATAATAGAAGTAAAATATTCAAAACAAGCAGTACTACCATTTGTCTGTGCCATTACATACCGATGTAAGACAAAGCCGTAAAAGAGATACCGAGGGCTTGTTTGGATACCGTATTAGAAAAAGAGGGATTGGATTAGGGAATACATGTTAATCACGCATAAATGTATAAAACATGGGATTAAAGAGGGCACACAAATAGTACCATTTTAGGAAGTAGATATGTTATTTTAAAAGGGCTGTCTAGTAATTTTTTTCCAAATAAATAAAAAAGGATAGCACAAGGGTTTTCTTATTTTTGTGGGGGATAAAATTGTAAAATAACGAGATAATACATTTTAACTCAGAATAAAAAGATTTTTATCCAATATGTTCTTTAATCTCCTCTATACTACACCAACCAAACGACCTTTAAGTGTCTTATCTATGGTAAATGCTACATGGTAGACTAAAGGGTAATATTGTAATCCCACTTCTTGGTCTCTGAACTTAGTGATTGAGACAATCGTGCCACATAGAACCAGTATCAGAAAATATGAATCATAAGATACATATGCTACATAAGGCCCAAGAGATCTAAGAGAAAAAAAAATACAAAGAAACTAGAACTAATGACAAAAGGATGGATCTATTAAATAAACTACATACATCATCTAACAAGCAACATTTACCAAGAAGATCAAAGAAAAAGTACTCTAGAAAATTACATGAAATTTGGATAACAAATATCAAAATAATCAAAAAATATATTTAGAATGCAAATCCATGTCTATAAATACGCCATCTGTCACATGGTCTAAAAGTTCAAAACAAGTGCCACTACATTAGTCTAACATCATAATTCATCTTTGTACAAAAGAATATTTCAAAAAATTAAAAAAAAAAATTATTTGCATGGGTTAAGAGAGAAATTGTCCCCAAGGCAACCACTTGTGTCTTTCTTGGCTATGCTCAGTCCGAGTAAAGATAATTTAGGGGTAGGATTGAAAATCTCACACTTGGCTTTTGCACAATATGATGCCCCCTCCCAAAAAAAAAAAAATTGTTGACTACCTGCATACTAGTCTTGTAAAAGTTTACGTAGCCCCCACTAATTTTCTCACTGCCCTTCAAACTTATGAACCTTCTGAATAAATCTATTTGCTACTGAAAAATAAGCAACAAGTCTTTCTATAAGTCCCATAGATTAGCAGGAATGGATATTTGAATATACTAAAAGGCACAAACCTGATGTTTCTTACACGACATTTGAATTAAAATTGGAAATAGTAGCTTCACACTAAATTTTTGTGCTATTTGACGAGGAATTGCATCTACACAACTTGCCATCTACCATAAGCTGCAGTGTGCAAGAATAATGTGTATATAGGTCTACACACGTGTATATGTGTATATATAAATATACTAAAATCATATTCCCCTGTGATGAAAAATCAATATCACTAATATCAATCACGCTTTCTTCGTATATTCACTAATGTACCTTGCCCCCTCCCATACCTCCTATCCTGCATGAAGGGGGGGAGAGGACTTAATTTCTAGCTTCACTTTTGCTTCTCTAAAAATCCAAGGCATGATTTCCTCTAAAAATCAATACCAGTTATAGCTCGTTTGATGCGAGAAAATGAATGAAGCCAAGTTATACTGTCAAGTGTGCCTGGATATGCTTTCAAGTTCCGTGGGACCAAAAGAATGAAAGAGGACCGGGAATGTTGGATCTTGAGGTTGTTTTGTGACCTTCATCGAAAAAGGAACGTAGCGTGATAATGGAGTAGAAGATTTCTGGATATACAAGCAAGAGAATCGATGACAAAACTCCCTCATATCGCCATTTCTTCATATCCTGACTGATAACGTTTGGATAGTCTCTGATCCACATTTGGCTCTGTCGAGTCCACTCAGATTTTATTGAGAATTTAATGGTTTTCCTTGTTCTTTAAAGTGTTTTCGCATTAGTAAAAAATGGAGCTGCTGAAATTGTTCCTCAGATCCAAACCCAATCATGGCCAGACCTTGTTTTGTAAGAAAACAAAAGGTGGAAGAATCTCATGGAAATCAATCACAAAATTTTTAAGCAGTGGAACCTCGATGTGGCAATGACAAGAAATTGCAACGATTACCAGAGAAACTAAGATACAAGTCAATAAGTAAATAAACCTATAAACGGAAATGCAGACAACATTACCTATTCAGAGAAAACACTCATGAGATCATTCGGAGGAAAACGTTGCGACATAGGTATCCCCACTTTCGAATCCTCAATAAAATCCAGATTAGGCTCCTGCTTTACTTTGTTTTCATTCTCCCCATAGAATTTTCCATGGTTCAAGTCAGTTACAGGTGACTCAGGGTCATCCACTGCAAAACGACTTGGAATGGAAGTGCCTTTACCAATAAATCGAATATTCCTGAGAGGTCCTTGATCTGCCTTAGCACTATAAGAACCTTCAATGTCATTCGTATTAGGCACCTGATCTGGCAACTGTCTGCCGGTAATATATGTTGGGGTTGAATTCTGAACTTGCCAACCAGAAGCATTGCTAGTATTTACTGAACAGGATGACATTGATGGAGACATGGGAACTGGTACAGAGTACCCATTAAGTACAACTGCTGTTTTTAGCTCCCTATCCGACATTTGTTCAACACCAAAGGAGGAATTATTTGATTGAGCTGACAGAACGTTATAATCAATAATAGAATTTCTATTAAAAGCGCCATTTTGGTTAATGGAAGCAGGACTATTTGCTGCCTGAAAACTGGCTGATGATTGAGACGGGGCCACAAGGCAAGAAGGCTGCACGTTAATTGAACGGCAATTTTCTGCCACAATTTTTTGTTTCTGATGCTGCTCTTGCAGTCGCTGATGTTGTAACATGCCCATCAATACATTACTATTCTGGACACCCAAACTACCAAGATTGTGACTTGGTCCAAAGCTACCAAGGCTATTTGATGACCATGCTCCAAATCCTGCATGACCACCCTCAGTAGATATGATGGATTGAGTAAAATGTTTGGAAATGTTGGATGGGCACTTCATCAAAGGCTGACCATATGCGACACCATTATCAACGGGAATAAACTTGGGTCCCTGTAGGGATGCTTGTAGTAGAGCTGGCTGGTCCATTGGTGGCAACATGTTACCCGTTGGTCGACCTAAAAGCTCAGCATGCAGAGCCGCCAGTGTTTGTGGAGGAATTTGGCCAGAGGCTGCAAAAGCTTGAATATCAAATCTTCCCAGCGAACCGAGTTTTGGATTCTGCTCCATAGGCCCACAACATGAATTCGGCATCCCACCTTGTTGTTGAGCTACTCCGCTCAATCTCTTTAAATATAATCTGAATTTCTACAAAACAAAAACACAGGAATTATACATGAAATGCAAATATAACGAGCAATCAAAATGCATATGCAGACCAACAGCATATATTATAACAATATTTTATTTGTGGGGCCATATGAACAAAGCAACACAGATCATATCAAGCTTTTATACGGAAATTTTACCAAATGAAATTTTATTTCACAACTGATATGATTTTTCCCAATCTTTTCCTCATTAGCCCTTTACCCAACTATGCAAAAACACCTACAGAGAAATGGACATGATTGAAAAGTGAAACTAGCAGAAACACTTATATTCAGACTCCTTTTCTGTTATTTTATTTTATTTTTTTCATTGTTTCAAGATACCTGGATGTAGCAAAACTCCTTTCTCAGTTATATCTTCCTTTCACAATTCTGTCACCTGCTATCCACACTTCTCATTCACCTTTCTTTTCCCCTCTAAAAAACTATCTGCAGGTGTAATGGTTCCTTAGTCAACGCCCATGCCTAGTTTGTGGCCTCACATAAGGTTAACACCTTGCATTGACAAGCAAAATGGATAATTAAAATCCACAAACAGCTGTCAAACTCCCCAAAATTTCAAAAAGAGGCAAGTTTGCAAACTCCTTTGATACCGATGCCCAAAAAGATGATACGAAGTAGATACGATTTCATCATCCTTCAAGCACCTCACATTTATCCTCAAATTCTCGAGCTTCTTTCCAACCAAATCACCCAAATGACGACAAACATTGCACAATCTTGAAGAATAACTCCACTACTCATCCTTCCAGAGCAATCAAAATCCACACAAAACAAAGTTGATATAAAACTTGGAGCCACCCAAGAATGTCATACTATCTCAAACGACTTATTCCATAAATACCAAGCAATCAGGCAATGCACAAACAAATGATCCACATTCTCACAATCATTCTTACACATAACACACCATTGTCGATGAAGATATGTGTTAGGTCGTCTATTGAAGCACCTCATAGGTGTTAGCTTGTCATGAGCTACAAACCATGCACAAACTTGCACTTCAAAGGCACTTCGGTGTTCCAAGTCTCAAAAAAAGGATAAAAAATTGGGATGTAAGAGTCATCAATTAAGGAATCAAAAAAGGAATTACAAGAGAACATGTCTGTAGAGTCAGAGACCCAACTTCATCTATCCAAATAATTATGATGAAATGTTGTATTGCCATTTTCCACGGTTTCTTTATCATTATGACTTCCATGAAAACCAAAATCACAAGACACCGGATAAGAGTGAGATCTAATCATAGAAACACTACGAGCATTATGAAAGTGAGAGAGACTATAGAAATGAGGAAATGAACATGGTAAGGAAACTCTTTTCCGACAACAAATTTAACCTTTTGAGAAAAGGATTGCAATCCTTGAGAAATGAATTTCTATGGGTTTCAAAAACTAGCCCTTTCAACCCTTTAAGCATTCCACTCATTGACATATAAACCATACCTGAATTTAATCAAATCCCACGTTGAATTTTACTTCAACGAAAATCTCAAAAGTCATTTCCCAACCAAAATTATATTTCTACACTTTAAACTACCCACCTTTAATTCTGGGCCAAGATAATACCTTCCACTGAACCAAGTGATTTTTCCTACCTTCACTGATACCTTCGCAAAAAAAATTCCTCATCATACCTTCAATCCTACTTACGACCAAACAAGGAAGTTTGAAAAGTGACAATAAATAAATGTGAATGCTAGTCAACTAAGATAAGCCTACCACCTCTAGATATTGTTATGTTATATTAGGATGTAACCTTTAAGGGTATTTTAATACTTTTGTGGTTATATATATATATTAGGATGTAACTGTGTGTAACCCTAACACACTACTCTCTTTTCCCAATCTCTTCTATTCTCTTTTTTAATCCTAAATCCTAATTACATTACAATTTAACATGGTATCAAAACTATGATCAAAATTGAATCCTCAAAGTTAACCGTCCAAAATTTTTGATTTTTTTGCAGGATGATCGACTTTAAGCCCTAGATTTCATGGAGATTTTTCTGAAATTTTTTGAAATAATCTGAAAGTTCTTTCATTTTTTTTGAATAATTTTGGTTTTTTTTTTATTTCGGTTCAGTTCTGTCATTTATTGAATATACGACTGTTTTTTTGGTTCGATCTCACTGGCTGGGACTTGAATGGAGTAGATCTACCTTACCTAGGTTGTATTGTTGAAGTTAGATAATATTTGGAGTGGTTTTGGGCCATTTTTGAGGCTCGGCTATTGGTTTGTTCGCCCCTGTTTAGATTCGGCCATTGTTTGGGCTTCGATCTTGCTATTTTTGGATTCGATTCTCCTAGATGGGATGCAACGGAGTCAAATCTGCTTGTCTATGAAGTTTTATTGGAGTTGGATCAGATTTGAGATTTTTTTGGTCAATTTTGAAGCTCTACTACAATGTTTTTGCTGCTATTCAACTCAGTTTGTTTTTTTTTTGGGTTCTGTTTGGCTCTTGTTTGAGTTGTTTGGTTACTGCTGGATACTTTTTGGCTACCGTTGTGCAATATATGGGTCTTAATTTCGTGGGTTTGTTTTTTCCTCATGTTGTGTGGACATGTCAGACACTACTGTGACTTTTGGAGCTATTGCCAGTACTAAAAGGAGTACAAGAGGACATCAATTAAGCCGTTTACGTACTCTCGCCAAATCAATCCAAAGAAATTGGATGTGCACAATTATTTAACGTGGTCATAAAGTTATTTGTTATTGGTCCAAGCTATTTGCTTGGATGGATACTTCACGGGAGAAACTAAGAAACGCACCGAGTTTGGTTCTTCACTGAAGCAATGAACATCTGAAAGTGCTTTGGTGATGTCGCGGTTTCTTAATTCAATGCGATCCACCACCAATCGTGATTTTTTATTACTTGATATAACTTATAAAATTTAGACTGTCATGGCATATACATCCTCTCAAAGAGGTAATGATGCTAAGGCATACGATCTTTAGAAGAAAGTTCGGGAGACTAATAAGATGGATAAGACCCTTCCAATATACTATGCGGAGTTGATTACCGTTGGTAAGAGTTTGACTACTATCAGAGTTTCAAGGCAGATTGTGTTAATGATGCTTCAAAATTTCACCAAATAGTCGAGAGAGAACGTGTGTATGACTTTCTCACTAGTCTTATTATTCCTCAATGAGACTCGAGTTCAGCCCAGTCCAAGTCTACTTAGTCAAGTAAAACTAGTGCCAAGGATATCTTAAAGTATAATTTTTGTGGGAAGACAAGGCATACAAGGGAGTTTTGTTGGAAGTTGACTCGATATCCTACACATGGTTGAGGTGGTAACGTGCAATCTCATGCCCATGTGACTGAATCTTCAAAGACTCCATCGCAATCTAGTGGAACCACCTCTTCTACTTTTTCTCAAGATGAGACACAAACTAATAGGTGCTTCATGGCTTGACTTGATGCTTCCTCTACCACAGCTCCTAATCATGTCTCTTCCTCCAACTTTGCTCACACCGGTTTATCTAGCGCATTTACTGCATCATCCTTATCTGCTATTTGGATAATAGATTCTGGAGTCACAGACCACATAACAAATTTTTCTACATGTTCAGGTAGAGATAAAGCCAAAGTGACAGATGAATCTTTATCCTTAATTTTTTGAAAATGTTTAATTCATTGCTCACCCACCTTATCCTTCTCCTCTATTTTCTATGTTCTCAATTTCTCCATTAACTTATTGTCTATTTATAGTATTACTAAATCCTTGAATTGTTCAGTGACTTTTTTTCCTACTTACTGTATTTTTCAGAAATTGGAATTGAAAAAAACGATTAACAGTGGTAAAGCACATAGTGGTCTATATCTCCTGGATGATAAAGCTTTCCCTCAATCCACTTGTCAAGCTCTCCAAGCAAATAGTGTTTCAACCCTTCAGATCTTACATCAGAGTGGCACAGACACCTGGGACATCCCTCATTTGGTATTTTAGAGCATATTTTTTAGGAAAATAAAGTAGTGTAGTAAGCAATTTTTTGTTTGTGATGCTTGTGAACTTGCCAAGCACAAACATTCTTATTATCTTAGTACTAATAGTAAAAGCACTGCTCTTTTTGTTATCATTCATTCTGATGAGTGGAAACATTCCCATGTTGCCTCTATCTCAAGTTATTGTTGGTTTGTCACTTTTATTAATTGTTATTCTCGTCTTACTTGGGTTCACTAACTACGACTTGAAAATACAGTTTTCCGTTATTTCCATTCTTTTCATAAAATGGTTGGTACCCAGTATAATGCCAAAATCAAAGTCCTTCGCAATGATAATAAAACTGAGTACATTGATGGAGAATTTCGCTCTAACCTTAATGAGAGTGGCATCATCTATCAAACTACTTGTGTGAGTACCCCAGAACAAAATGGTGTTGCTGAGCAAAAAAAATTATCATCTTCTTTAGGTTGTTCGTTCGCTAATGTTTACTATGAATGTTCCTTAGCACTTTTAGGGAGATGCAGTTCTTACCATTGTTTATCATATTAATCATCTCCCTTCAAATGTTTTGCAGTTTAAGTCTCCTATTGAACATCTTTTTAGGATTTTATCACTCCCTTCAGTTTCTTCTCTTCCTCCTAAAATTTTTGGGTACGTCTGTTTTGTACACAACTACAAGCATCTAGGAAAAAACTTGATCCTAAGGCTTTGCAGTGTATCTTTGTTGGCTATTCTCTCACTCAAAAGGGGTATAAGTGTTACCATCTACCCTCTCAAAATATATGTTAGCATGGATGTTACTTTTCGTATGTTTGAGTCATTTTTCTCTCCTTCCTAGCCATCTCTTCAGGGGCGAATACTACAATTGCGAAAGAGATGGTATGTCAATAACCCTTCTTTCAATTGTCTTTCCATTGGGATACTAATCAAGGGGAGCAACAAATTGTGAGTAACAATGATCCACCTGGTATTCTGAAGACCTATTCTTAGCGTCAGAAGGTACAGACCACCTATGTGTCACCGAGTCAGTTGAATTTCTCTACTCCAATTCTAGTATCTCCTATTGGTTTACCAGGTAATGAGTTCCAGTTGTCACCCATGTTATTGATAATCCAACTATTGATGATTTTAAACTTCCTGTTTCAGTTAGAAAAGAAGTTTGAACTTGTACTCAATACCCCATGTCTAACTTTGTTTCTTATGGCTCCTTGTCTCCATGTTATTGTACATTTGTTTCTTGCTTGTCCTCTACATCTATTCCTCAGGGTTGAAAAAAAACTCTCACTGATCCAAAGTGGCCAGAAATTGTGGTGGAGGAAATGAGAGCCCTACAAAAGAATGACACATGAAAATTAGTTCCACTTCCAATTGGAGAAAGAGCAATTGGATGCAAATGGGTATTTACTATCAAACAAGTCGATGGTTTAGTTGAAATATACAAGGTAAGACTAGTTACTAAGAGATTCACTCAAACATATAACATTAATTATCAGGAGACTTTGGCCCCTGTGACGAAGATGAACTTCATACGTGCCCATCCTCTTCCGTGTAGCTACTTTGGGATGAAGTTTGAAACAGTTAGATGTGAAGAATGCATTTTTCCGTGGAAACTTGTAGGAGGAGGAGGTATATATCGATATTCCACCTGGTTATCGTAACTAAAGGAAATGTGTTTAAGTTGGAAAGTCAATTTATGGGTTGAAGTAATCACCTAGAGCTTGGTTTGATAGGTTTCTCAAATCCATGTTGAAATTTCTATATAATCAGAGTCATGCTAATTATATTATATTCATCAGGCAGGTAGGTGACAAAATAACAATCCTAATTATATATGAAGATGACATAGTGATAATTGGAAATGACGTACATGAAATCACCAAACTAAAAGTTCAATTAGCTAGAGAGTTTTAAATCAAAGACTTGAATCTATTGAAATATTTTCTTGGGATTGAAGTTGTCAAATCAAACAAAGACATTTTTATCTCACAGAGAAAATATGTCCTTGACCTACTTAAAGAAACTAGTATGTTTGGATATAGACCTATAGACTCTCCTATTGAAGCCAACCAACGGCTGGTGACGGGTGTTGGTGAGGTTGTGACTAAAGAGAGATACCATAGATTAGTGTGGAGAGATTGATATACATCTCTCATACTATGGAGATTGTAAGTCAATTCATGCATGATCTTTGAGTCCGTCATCTTGAAGCTGTTCATCATATTTTGAGATATATCAAATTAGTCTCAGGGAAAGGAATTTTGTTCTCTAATAATGGTCACTTGAAACTAGAAACATCTGCACACCGGACGGATTCAATAAATGATAGAAGATCCACTTGAGCTTATTGCATCTTACTAGGAGGAAATATTGTCACATGACGAAGTAAAAAGCAAACAATGAAAGCCAGGTTTAGTGAAGAGGCTGAATAAAAGGCAATGGCCCATAGAGTTTGCGAACTTGAGCTTAGAATTCGTGGTGATGAGTCTATAAGACTGTACTGTGATAATAAAGCATTATCAACATTGCACACAATCTAGTTCATCATAATAGAATTAAACATGTTGACAGATCGACACTTCATCAAAGAGAAGTTGAACAAGGGTTTAATTTGTATGTCATTTGTGAAATTAGAAGATCAATTGACCAATGTTAGCAAACTTTTACATCCTATCATTTGCAAAATGGGCATGAAAGACATTTATGCCCTAACTTGAAGAGGAATGTTATGTTATATTAAGACGTAACCCTTAAGGGTATTTTTGGTACTTTTGTGGGTATATATATAATGGACGGTAGCTGTTTAACCCTAACACATTACTCTCTTTTCCCAATCTCTTCTCTTCTTTTTCTTAACCCTAATTATATTACAATTTAATTGATACAAAAGTTTTTTTCCACTCATCCAATGTTCTCAATAATCGGATCGCAAAATCCCAAAACTAAAAGATTACCACCTCAAGGAAGCCCCAAGTATTTCTGAGGCCACCCTCCCATGAGACATCCCATAACACTAGCCAAACTTGTAATCTTATCCTACCTCAAGTTAATTCCAACAGTCACACTCTTATCCATATTAACCTTAAGCCCAGATATCATACTAAAAAACATAAACAATTTTTTTAAGATAAAGAACTTCTCATTATCCCCCTAAGAAAAAAAAATGGTATCATCAACAAATTGCAAGTGTGACATTGAGAACATATCTCTACCAACAAAAAATCCCTCCACAAGATTATATTGTTCTACCCTTACCACTAACCTACTTAACCCATGCACTACCAAGTTAAAAAGAAAGGGAGATAGTGGATTCCCTTGTCTTAGCCCCCTTGTTGCGTGCCTATCGCAATCCGTATGATGAAGATTTTGCTTTAATGAATTATTTTCTTGCCATCGTTAAATAGGTTTGACCTTCTTTTTCTTTTCCTTTTTTCATCGTTCCTTTGTTACTTTTTTCTTAAAGTGTTTCTTGAAAGAAGGTATCAATTTTTCTTATTCATTTTTCATCCTCTATTCACACGTATTCTTGGTATCAATGAAATGATGTATAAGCAATTTAGATTAAAAATGATGCTATGAAAGAAACAATGCTTATGCAGACAAGAACCAAACCTGCAAATGGCTTGCAACATTTTCTCTAGTTAAACCTGGAACATTCATCAATTCAAGTATTCTCTTTGGTACAGCCTCTGCAGTGCCAGTGGGGAAAAAAAAAGAAAAGAAACAGAGGTAAGTAGTAACTACAGAAAAGAAACATCAGGACGTGCTAAATTATCTTGGAGAAGATAGTAGCAACGAATTGCAATTCTTTGTACCAAGATATGTATATAGACTAAAATATACCAAATAAATTATGCATAACTTATATGAGGGACAAATATTAAGAGTACATACTATCAATCCCAAGTTGATTCACAGCACTAACAAATTGCTGATGGAGCTCAACTGACCATACAACGCGTGGCTTCTTGGATGATGACAGATCATCACTTTCCATGTCACCATCATCTTCTTCTTTAGCATCTCTCCTCTTTTTCTGTGTTTTTAATAGACCTTCTGATCCTTGGTTAACAGAAGAAGCATATTCAGCATCGTCACTTCCTCGTTTACACCGATCATTTTCATCAAAGCTACCTGAATGTTCATGCTCTTTGTTTTCATTCCACTTTTTCCTCACAACATGCTGCCATATATTCTTCAACTCTTCTTCACGTATAGGCTTAATCAAGTAATCACAGGCCCCATGTCTGATTCCCCTCATAACAACACTGGTTCTTCCATCTGCTGACATCACTGCAATATAGACTGTATGTTAGTTTAAATAAACAGATTGATTACCTGTAGCTCAAAGAGAAGTACTACTCACTAATGACAGGAAGGTCCATTTCCAACCCAACTCGTTCGAGGAGTTTGAAGCCATCCATGTCAGGCATATGAACATCACTTAATACAACATCAAAACAGCCTTTGCTCTCCCGTAGTATGTTTAAAGCAACAATAGCCTGGGAGCAAGGAGTAACTGCAGGCAAGTACAGATTAAATCAAAAGAACTTCAGGTACAAGGGTTGGCTTTGGTAAAAGCTAACGAACATGGGCACTTCTAGAAAGCAGCCATCTTCATGTCAGGCAACAAAGAGATACCCATGCCTCTTATTGCACCTGCCTATTCGTCATGGCACATGCACTCCTCCTGCTCCTTATGCATGGGGTAAGTCCATATGGTATATGCACCGGGTAATTATCAGGACAAATTTATGTGAGGTGGAACCCGGGCTATCTTGTCTATTCCTTCGGAGTCCAAAGCATTAAATCTACAACCAAAAATCTCCCACCTCAATCTGAAATAAATACTTTTCCTTCGAAACTCACTTTAATACGAGTAATGCGTCATAAATTTACCCAAATAACAAAAACCCACAACTAGACAACTACAATATCCTGTTTTTAAGCTCAAATTGGCAGGCATTTCTGGACATATTAATCAGATAATCAATAATTTACGGTGGCAAAAACAAAGAATAAAGAGACCAAATCGTAAAAAGTGAAAATTTTACCAATGTACATGCATCTTCGGAGCATTTTCTCCAAAATTCTCAAGCAGGTAATGTCATCATCCACTACAAGAACTCTCAACCCCACCGGGAACTGATCGGGCACAAAAACGTCAGCCTTACACGACAGCATCGACCCATAACAGCTCGCAGTCGCCATACTCTGCGGCAGTTTCTGCAAAGCAGACATAACACCAAAACCCACACTCAGAACACTTTTCTCTGTGAACACACAGCTCAGTAGAGTGGAGGAAGTGAAATTTGCATCGAAGAATGATGGGGTTTTAGCTGGTATTTGGAAACAGATCTAAGTGAAAACTTAGGTGGGAATAAAATTGATTCTGGACTTCGAAACATGAAATTGAGAAGTCTGGAACTGGGATTTGTGATTGGTGACTGAGGAATGTGAAATGGAGAGAGAGAGGGTTTTAAAATAGGAAAGATAACGCGAGAGAGAAAAGAGAATCCTTCATTAAACTAAAGTTGTCATTGTTTGCGATTTATATATGATTGTTTTATTTATTATGCAATTAAATAAAGAGTAATATTATTTATATCTAAAAATTTGACCAAAATTTCTGATATAATGATATGGCTTCAGTAGAACCATTGAATCAACACCAAGTTTCAAAATTTGATGGATTTCACAGTCAATCCAAAGGTTATAGTGAATTATGTCAGTAAATTAGATTCTAATAGCATTGTTCTTAAATAAATGTAGTTATTAAACTTTTCGGTAAATATGACTTTGTCAATTTGGCCTCTAACAAATTTTAAAATTTTAATTTTATCCCTTCAAAATAAAAAAATTTCAAAAATAAACCATAACTTTTTAAATGGTAGCAATGTATCTTTTTTACTCCATTTTCGTAAGTCTGTGTCCCAAATTGGAACAAAAAAAATATGGGTTCAAGGCATAATATAAGACTTTAAATCTTAGAAAGAAATAGATGAAAATCTTTTAAGATTTTTTTTTAAGGCAAAATTTCATTACCCCTAAATTACTAGTAGATTAGATTTTTCTTGTTTGAGAATTTGTTTTATTTTTTTTTTGTTATTAAAAAAAGACTGGGACAAAAGAGAGCGTTCAGAGACTACCTCGATAGGCCTTTATTGATGGGATTATGAGACTCCTGACTATATTTGTTACTCCTTTGAAAAATAAATCTAGCTAGACTAATATAACGGTCAACCACCAAACTCTAATGTGAAGTTAAAAACTAAAATCTCTAATTTTAGGATGAGAAATTTGACCGAAACCTGTTAAATCACCCTACCTGATAATTGTTTGAGTAAATTGATGTAGGACAAATAACATAAATTATTGAATTGGAACATCATACTCACTTTTTATGCATCATGGGCTGATCAAGAGGACTGGAGCTATGTAGTAATAGAAAGTGATTCTCAAATGGTGGTACGCACAGTGATGTTAAATCATATAAAACCACCTTGGTTAATTCTATAAATTGTCAATTATATCAAACCATGCTAGAGCAACACCTGGACTGACTGGAGTATGAACCAGACATTAAGAGATTCAAACAGGTTCACGCATTAACCCGCAAGTATGGCTGTTAATCGAGTCGAGTTTTATGAGCTTGAGTCCGAGCCTGTCGAGTTCGTTTTTTTAAATGAGTTTAAAAAATTGTTCAAGATTGGCTTGTTTAGAATTTGAGCCGAGCCTAAGCCGAATTCGAGTAGCTCGACTATTCTACATATAAATAAGTCGAGTTTTGCGTACTTGAACCCAGCCTTTAAGACTTGTTTTTCTAAAAGAGTCTAAAAATTTATTTAAACTTAATTCATTTAAAACACGAATCATACTCGAGTTAAATTTTATCCGATTCGATCCCAAACCGAGTTTGAGTAACTCGTGTTAATTGTCACCCTACCCACAAGATGGAGTCTTCTTGTGAGTTTCAATGGAACACTCCAAAGTCCAAGCTGATGACCGTCCACCACTGTGAGAAACTCAGTACACGAGGATACAACTTCTCATAGGCTAGCTAATCAAAGTAGTTTTTAGCCAGATAGTTAGCCAGTTACCCATTTGGATAGTTTATTTCAGATGTTATTACTACATATTTACTCTCTTGTAAACCTTCATCCACCTTCCCAGGAAAAAAAAAAAAAAAAAATTAGGATGATCCAGTGGTTGAACCTGACTTTTAATAATTCAGAGGTCTCAAGTTCAATTTCATTTCATACTCTCTAAGCGCTAGCCACCCATTAGCTTATGCCACGGTGGCCACAGGGCCGGCCCAACAGTATGATAAAAAAAGAATAGACTTTAAGCATTAAATTTTTAGAAAATCACATAATTTTAGGTACATCACAAACCCACAAAAAAAATTAAATCCATTAAATTTTAAACCCTATAAAACAGCCCCCAAAAATTAAATACAATTAAAATTTTTATTGCAATCATTTGGACCTATAATTACATTAAAAACTTAGAAATTAAAAAAATAAAAAAAATACTTAAAAATCAACTCATATTTACTCCCACTTACTTTTACTTTTTTTTTTCTCTCTCTCTCTCCAGTTAAAAAAAATAAAAAATTAAAATAAAAGTTAAAATTAAACACTCTCTCTCCCTCTTGTGGAAAAAAACAAAAACAAAATTAAATTTTTTTTTTTTCGATAATATTAATACATCATTATTTTGTCTCACTCTCACATAGAAAATTAAAAATAAATTAATTTTTTTTAAAAAATAATACTAAAAATAAAAAAACCTTCATTTAATATTTTCGCTTTAAGCCTAAAATTAACTTGAGCCGCCACTGGGTGGCAAGCCACTAAGCTCAAAAAAACTTTGTGGTTTACAATTTTTTTTCTTTTTTTTTGATTCAACAATCAGAACTATTCGGGCAATTTCCGCACACTCTCTTCTAATCTCCTCCCCAGTTCGGTAATAGATATGTCATTCATACTGAAATTAGAATATTTATGATAAATAAATTCATTATGACCTGATCAAGCCAATAATGATAATTATAATGATACAATATTACGGAAACCACAAATTTTTAATATATGTGTATGCTTTAGGTCCAAAATCAAACAAACATTAAAACAATAAAATTGTTTTTTTGATGAATTTTTAACTAGAGTAGAATTACAAAGAAAAAAAAGAAGCTTGACTTGGAATAATTTCTGTTGATGAGTGGAAGAGTGAGAGATGATGAGGGGTTGGAAGAGAGATACTAGAATCTATTACCAATATACCCTATTTATTAAACTTCTACTGCCATTTTCAACTTATTTATCAAACTATCGTTGTTTTAAAAGTGAATTTGGCAAATCCGACTTCATTTGGAAAGCGGATTTGACAAATCCGATTTCAATTAAAAAGCGGATTTGATAAATTCGACTTCATATGGAAAACAGATATACCAAATCCGCCTTTATATGGAAATCAGACTTACCAAAGTGCAAAACCTTTATATGTATAATTGCGTTGATCGCCAAAAGAGTATTTGACTATTTATTGAATACGTTTGGTCTCTTTGATTTTATATTTTTTGTGAATAAATTACTCACGTTTATTAGTCGTTAAAAATCCACTGATAGATTCTATCTAAATTCATTAGTTATAACCCGTGCATGAAGACACGATAAAATATAAAATTTGAGCATTCAAAAAATTGATTCCATTATATTAATTTTTTCAAAATATATTAATTACAAATTAATCAAGTATTAAATAATTAAATATATAATAAAAATGAGTAATTTATTTTTTAGGGAAAAAAATATGAAATCAAGAATTTCGGGTGGTATCCCAGTAAAAAAATTAGATAAAATATTAAAAGTTACTAGTTGAGACAAAAAACGAATTTGGTATGTCTGTTTTCTAAATGAAGTCAGATTTGGTTTGTTCACTTTCCCTATAAAGTCGGATTTGGCAAATCCGCTTTCTAAATGAAGTCGAATTTGTCAATTTCGCTTTCTCTCTAAAGTCGAATTTGTCAAATCCGCTTTTAAAACTGCGGTAGTTTGGTAAATAAGTTAAAAACGGCAGTAAATCGGTAAAAAAATTTAATAAATGGGATAGATTGGTCATAGATTCAAAGATACTATAGAGCCAACGATGACGGTGATAGTGGTTGAGGGAGGTGGGTAGATGGCCAAGGATTGTGAGAGATGGGTTAATTTTTTGGATTCTCATGGGTAAATAAATTTATATCAAACTAAATAAAAACGTTATCAAATATTTTTGTGTTTGAAAATCTCAAAAAATAAAGTTAAAAAAAAATAATTAAAAATTAAACACAACACAAAAATAAATAAGCGGTATCAAATGCCACTTTAGTGTGCATAATTTACGGTTAATCATATGCATCTAAACCAAAATAAATAAATAATCAAAATAAAGAAATAAAAAAATAAATAAAATTGGTGGTCTACATAAAGCGTGTGTGAACCTTATCCAACCCATACATTCTATCTCTGTGTGAGACAGTGAAGACCCCCAAGCGTATCATCCACTTTGGCTATTCCTATTAGTATTACCCCATGTTGAAGTTTTTAGGAGGATTGGTTGCATTCTCCTCACCTTCTCTTTCACCTCTTCCTTCCATGTACAAAGCAGTGTGCATTTCCTCCTCCTCGTCCTCCTCCATTAAAGCTATAAAGCCAGCTAGTCGGAGAGTTTCGCGCAGTACTCTTTGTAGTGCAAGGAGGAGGGTGAGATACGACGATGAAGGCGATGATGACAAGGAAGAATATGGACACAATGCCGAGATAGCGTTGCTGGAGTTGTATAGTCAGTCTGCGAGGGACGAAGCACTTCTTGTGAATGCAATGGTAGATGAGCATGCAGTAGAAGTTCTCATCTTCAAGGTTTGTTAATATTCAAGCTATACTAAGCAATGCTACTGAGAGACCTGTGGGTCCATCAAACATTGAAAATTTTCATACATTTGGTTTTGTCTCAGGGATTCTCATCGTGCTTGAGCTACAGGACTTCTCCGGATCCATCACGGAGTGTTCTTCCACAGAAGGCAAAGATTAAGTCCATAGATAGAATAAAAGGGCCTTTTGACCCCACTGATATTGAATACCTTGAAAAAGGATTGACATGGGAAGATTTTAAGAGCCGATTATCACCAAATTAAAGAGTTTTGGTTTGGTGGCTATTGATGAAATACTTTTTGTCTTTTCTTTTTCTTTTTTTTTTTCCTTTGTTATTGGAATTACACAACTAATAATAAGGAAAAATATCATAAACGACTCGGGTATTAAAACGCTCCCAAACTTTTAGTTGTATTAACTGAGTTCTTGAGTTTTTATAATCGTTTCAACGGTCTCTTTCGTCTATCGATAGAAATATAAAATGTCAACAACATATAATCACTCGTTCTCATGTTGGAACCTCATTTTTATCTTAAAGTTAAAGGAGAAAATTGAGATGGTTAGCAGTTCAGGGGGCATTTTTCATGGATGGTCACAGTTTAAGGGTATTTATGCTGTCCTCTGGGAAACAGGTCTAATTCTGATTCAAACTTTGTTACAGCAAGCACTTACTCCTCAGCCACCTAAAGATACTATCGTCCAGGAAGAGAGGCAAACCTGTAGTTGCAAGAACATGTAATTAAGAAAAAGTTGAAAAGTACCCATGTAGCTGTCACAGCACAAATGAATAATGCATCAAAATAGTAAGTAGATGAATAGCTCCAGCAAAGTTACCAAAGAACACCTGAAATACTTGCCAACCAATGAAAAATCATAAACAATGGGTTTATTGTTCATGTCTTTCACATAATGCTATGTAGAAGTGGAAGTTACATCGAACAAAAAACTGAAAGAAAAGAAAAGAAAAATCAAATGAAAGAATTAATGTCATGTCAGCCCTAAATCCAAGCTCCTCTGGTGCGTGTGGGCTTCATTATTTTGAGTACAAAAAGAATATGCAGTTTCTTGTAAGAAAAGAGGCATAGTACCTAGAACTCGTGGAAGATGTGCTTGCCTCGAGTTTTTGTCTATTAGTTGTGATCGCAAATTAATCACTTCCATGCAACAGCATCAATCTCGTCTCTTGCTGATTTGTACAACTCGAGCCTCTTGGCCAGAACCTCTCTTTTCTCCATGAGTGACGGGTCCTCATCCAACATTTTACCAAGCTGCTCCTTCTGCACATACATTCGCCAGGAAAATGTTTTACTTTGTAATTAATAAGCACAATAGCATTTCACTGTACATCTCCTCATCCTTTTCCTCCAAGTTGGAATTAGATTGCCCGAACCCTTTTATCAATATGCTGGGATGGATTTGGCAAACAACTTTTTCAGTTGATACCCCCTAATGTAGCCAAAATAAAAGGTAATAATATGACAGCCTTGTTACATTCAACTTGATGGTCAACAAAAAAGGGACAAGGAAAAACCAAGAATATCAAAACTCCCATTTCATGTCTGTTCTTCATCTTCTATGTTGTAAAACAGATTTTTTTTGCTATTCTCAGGAGTGTTTGAATGCTGCAACTACCTAGCCGACTTTACAACCTTTAGAAACTATGTGGTTCAAGACAAAATCACGCTCATGTTGTCAGAATGCTGAAAAATTCTTAAAGTTTTTCCTAGTAAAATGTATAACATTGGGTTATGATCTGACAACCATGTACACATCCAGCTTGGTGGATACTCAACTAATCAAACTAGCTCCTTCAATGAAAGATAAATTTGCCCAAAAAAGAATGAAAGATGACTGAATTGCAAGCTTGAACCTGAAGGCCATCTCAGATATTCAAACATTATGTTCATTCTGTTGCTCCTCCAATAGCCAAGGCTGTCTTATTATTGACTTCAGTAAGCTGCTTTGTTAGTTTATCCATCATTTTGTCCGACAAAAAACTTTTATATTGTATCACTTGTTCACTATTGATGAAGTTCTTATGAAAGAAACCAAAAGAGGAACTCTTCATTTAGTGGAACTTTAAAATGAGAAAGGTTTGACATTGTGGCTTGTACTTCAGAGAGCTGTAATAGAGACAATCAACATTTATGCAGACTCTATCAAGCATGCAGGGTAATTGCTAACCTTCATTATTGTTTCAATATCTAATTTTAGTACTTGATTAGTGTAAGGGATATGTTAAACAGATGATGATGATTAATACTTTATTTTTATTTTTCACCCATATTAAATATCAGATCTAGGTTTTTTAGCATGCTTTTGTGTGGCATTTGCTTTATTGTGTGTTTGCATATCCAAACTACTGTTAGGCCAACGCTTGCTGAAGCTTAACTCAAAATCAACTTTACCTGTGTTTTGACTCAATCCCATACTGAGGTAGAGTGAATCTATCCAAATTTTGGATCAGAAACCAGCTTCGCCTGTGCCAGCCACATAAGCAACTCCTACCTTTTTAGTTAGTTTTAGTCTTTAGACCTAATTGTCATAACTCTGTGTCATAAAATTTCTAATCTAGTGGACTGTATGCTGCAAGTATTTATTAGTTGGTAGTCATTTAAGGGTAAGAAGACTGGTTTTTTAAATCAACCTATCACTCAGTCCAATACATTTTGAGGATGTTACCATGACCCTGTTTTAGGTCAGGCACACAAATTCGTTGCAATCTATAAAAGTTCTACAATAGCTAATTGTCCAAAAGGTAGGCACATTATTTGATGGGGAAGTAGGTTGTCTGAATGGAGTTCACAGGTCATGCACTTATATTGAGAGCACTTGTTTGTTAGTCATCTTTAGAGAATGTGATTAACAGAATAATGAATTTCATTTCATTTCTTTTGTGTTCCGCAGTGGCGACTTAGAAGATTTGCTGAGGTGTTATGTGAGGAGAACTTGCAAGCTAACTTGATCTGAGCAGAGACTCAGTTTAGATCTACTAGTTAACATGTATGACAAAAACTTCACATGTAAAAATTAAATAGAAAACACTATGCCCTCCAAATCATTCTTTAGAACCTTAACTTGGAAGAAAGGACACAAAGGTAAACATTTTTCCAATTATAAGAGAAGGAAAGCTAAGTAATTCTGGAGATGATGCTCAGGCGATCCAAAAGGCGATGGAGCGACAGAGTGCAGATGGGTATTTGGGATTTGGCGATGAAACAAAGGGGAGCAGCGAGGGCTTCAGAGACGATTTTGATATTGATAACGAGAGTGGAATAGATGATGAACAAAAGCGAATGTTTTAGGAGGTCGTGCAAGGTCATTGTGGTGATCTGAATGTACTGTTGCAATCGGATGAAAATTATGACAGGGGAAGTAGTTGGACAGATTCATTGCTTCACTGTGATCTTGGAGAAGCTTGAAGTATACAATCAGACGAAATATATTGTGATGTGGCAAAGTTGTTTGAGAAGCAGAAGCAAGTAGGAGATCATGATGGTGAGTTTAAGGGAATTGCACATCAGAGGGTACTCAAACCAGGGAGATGATCGCTCATACACCTTCTTGTACCTTGGAAGCTACTGGTAAGCCAAGTTTTTCTTCATTTTCTCACGAGTTTGGTCTTCATTCCTCTGTTAGGTTGGTTTTTCTTCTGGGGGAATAGTTCTGGTTAGTTGTTGTCTGGAAGGGGGGAATCTATTTATGTTCAGACTTCAGAGTGGTGGGGAGGGGGAAAAATTGAAGTTAGGGTTGGGTCAGTGTGGTTCTGGTCTGGGAAGGGTTTGGGCAATGCTTTTTCTGATGAACAGGAGTCAGTGGGGAGGGCTGGGGGCTATCTGATCAGATGGTTACTGCAGATAGCTGGGAAGTTCCAATTCAGTCCCTGTGGGCGTCGCGCAAGGAGGTTACTGTGATCCATATTTGCGTACTGATAATAGCTTAGCCACGCTTGATTTTTGTTTCTAGTAATCCAAATACTGTTTTTCTAGGGCCATTGTTTATTATGGTGGTGAGAAAAATGAGCTGAATTTTGGGAGGTATAGGTGAGGATAGTAGCGAGTATACAGAGGGTTTTGTGTCTGATGATGAAAAATGGGTAGTTCTAAAGCATTTTTTTTGGAGAAAATGGATCTATCACTAGTTCCTACTAAAAAGAAAAATCAGAAAAAATGTGGTGGATGAAAACTTTGGTCAAAGAAAGAAGAGCGAAAGGAGAAAGAGAAAATATTATTATTGTTAAATAAGTTCGTAATACAACCTAACATAAAATACACAATATAGGCTCTTATATAGCAGGGCAACAAATAATAAAGTAAAAGCTCAAACTATCCTTAATATTAATACTCTAACAACGGAAAGAAGGAGAAGAAGAGGAAAGGACGGGTTTCAATGGTGTCAGTGGGATGGCAAGGTGTTTGGAAAGGCCTTTTGAGTTACGAGGAAATTAAGTGAGCAATTTTTTAGTGTAGTACAGATAAAACTTCAAGGCCAGATGGGTTTACTATGACCCTATATTAGGTGTGTTGGGAAGATTTCAACGATGATTTGGTGGTGTTTGAGGTGTTGTTTCATAATGGTGTGGTTAATGTAGTTACAATGCCACTTTTATTTGTCTGATCTCAGAAAATGATAAATCGTTCAAGTTAAAGGATTTTAGGCCTATTAGTTTAGTGACAAGTTTATATGAGATTATTCCTAAGGTTCTATTAGTTCCGCTTATGGAGTGTTTGGTTAACAATGTTTCAAAATCTCAAGGGCCTATTGTGAAAGGGAGACATATTATGGATTTGGCTTTGTTGATCACGAGGTAGTTGATAATTATAGAGTAAGGAGGGAGGGAATAGTGTTGAAAATTGACTTTGAGAAAGTTTATGACGATGTGGAGTGGAGTTTTTTGGATTCTATCATGGGCTAAGGTTTTGGGAATAGGTGGAGGCAATTGATTAAGGGTTGTCTAGGGTTAATAAATTTTTCGGTTATCCTAAATAGTAAACCTAGAGTAAGATTCAAAGCGTCTAGGGGGATTAGGCAAAGAGATCCTTTATCTTTTTTTTTTTTTTTTTACCTTGGTGGTTGATGGGTTGAGTAGGTAAATGAAAATGATAAAAATGTGCAATTTGGTGGGAGGTTTAGTAATCGTTAGGTAAAGAAACTCTATGTCTCATTTGTAATTCGCAGATGACACGATTTTCTTTTCATCGAGGGATGAAGAGATTGAAAAAAATTTGTTGATGTGATTGGTTTGATTTCTAGACTCAAAATTAATATGGAAAAAAGTAAAATTGTGGGGATTAACACTAGACAAGGAAAAATTGAGGAATTGACTAAAGAGTTAGGGTTTATTGAGGGTGGGTGGCCGTTGAAGTATT